CAGTAATATACTAATAATCCAGGTGGTTTCTTTTCTCTACCGCTTTCCTCATCTGCAGTAGCAATGAGTCGTCCTAATACAAGTGCAATTTCACAGAATGTGGAGGGTAATCAAAGAGTTTATCCCGTAAAGCAAGAGTCTTCCATCGCCTGCGCAACTAGTCTCGCAAGGGGATAGCGTTGACAACTTGACATGCCAGCTGCCAAATCAGCACATCCAATTTGCATAACATAGTCTGCTAGTTCTCCGATAATGTCAGTCGAGACGCAAGTGCAGAGATGGAACAACTGAGGTGAATACATATGTACGTTGGATCGGGCATGCTGACTCTGCTGAGACACAGATCTTAGGGCATATAGTCTATTATGTGGTCATTAATATTGCTTACTAATCAACGGATCACATCTCCATCTGCAGGCAAATTGCAATACGACAAGAACTCAGACTGTCGTCTTCTCCAACTCGTAGTGTGTACAGGCTATTGTGACTATAGTGTCTGAATCTCCATTTAAAGCTGCAATTTCTACGAACCGTCGATCCAACAGGACGTATATACTGCAATTGCATTGAAACTCTGAAGTGGCATGCCCACAAACCATTGACGAAACAGAAGATGCTTGTGCTCCCGTGGTATCCGCTCAAAGACTAAGGCCTTAGTTTCCTGATATTTCGAACGCGGTGTGTGATAGCTGGATATGATCCATATACAGATATACCGATGCATGTCCTCATTGACGAAGATCTGGTGAACAGGGCTCGTTTAAGCTATGGTTTTTCTTGCTAACCATATGCTTCCCTCGAAAATGCACTAGCCGCAATACCTTCTCCCTTGTCATTACCGGTAATGTTTGTAGCGCACAAGTTGATTTTCAACTACATCTGCCGACACAAAATGGGCTGTTGGCTAACGGCTTCGCGCTGGTGTGTACATCGAATTGCGTAGTCATCAGTGATATCGTCGTTCGTAACTCGCAAGCGAATTCGCTGTCATAGCAAATATTCGAAGCCGAAGGACTGTGTTATCCAGCCAGTCAAACCACAAAGGTTCAAATGAAGACAAGATCTTGCACAGTTTTATTCATTTTATATAACTAATAGTAAGGTACGCAGTTATAGTACATTTTTTCTCGTTAATGCATCAGGATCGAAATACTCAACCAATCTACCCAAACACAATCAGGAATTTCAAGGACACGGATATCGGAGCATAACCACAGTGAAAAATCAATCAAGCTGCCCAAATCCAAGAGCGCTTTTGCTCATGTGCGTCGCCAAGTGCCTTGCGCAGCTTGAGTGAGCGAGCAAGTCGAGTTCCCTGACAACACGATTTCATTAGCCAGATGATTCTTCCCCATATGAGAGTACATACTGCGACACCCTTCTGCTCAAGAGCTGCACCGATTGATTGCTCAAGAGCGTCGCCGAGTTCACGCTCCTTCAGCGAACGTGACTGGTAATCACACAATTCTCATTAGCCAAATGAATCCTACTGGGAAGCAGCGATGCATATGGTGGCACGCACCTGCCCAAGGGCCTCATCGATTGATTGTTCAAGAGCGTCGCCGAGCTCACGATTGTCCAATGAACGTGCTAGCCGAGTTCCCTAGTAATGTCGTTTTCATCAGCCGAGTGAAATTTTATGTTGTGGGTTCAGGACTCACAGCGGCGCCCTTCTGCTCAAGAGAATTGTCGATAGACTTTTCCAGAGCGTCGCCGAGTTCACGTTCTGTGAAAGAACGCGAAACCCCAGGGACAGTTCCCTAACCGCGAATTCATTAGCTTGACGAGTTTTCGATTGATAGGGAGTACGTACAGCGGAACCCGCCTGTCCAAGAGCATTCTCGATCGATTGGCTAAAAGCGTCGCCGAGCTTACGCGCTTTCACGAGTCGATTTCCCTGACGACACGAGTTAATTAGCCTTGTGAATGTTTCTTTACCGGGATAATACAAATAACAACCTTTGCATTATTATTTGCGTTGCCGTCATTTCCTTTCGTGGATGGGCCCGCTACATTTCCAGCAGCATTGTTTGCCTTTGCGCCTCCACCTTGCGAAACAAGGACGCAGTTTCCAAATTTACCGGCAGTTGTGAAGCTGACGAGACAGCTCGCTCCATCGGTTCCTCCAGTGCACTTGGTTCCAGATGGCAAAGTACCGGAGACCTGAACAGAACCCGTCGACGCAGGTGCAGCCACACCATTCTTCGTAATTGTAACCGAGCCACCTGTAAATGAATCCCCAGTGCCTGAAGGATCAATCGACGTATCGGTGATCTGGGTCGAGCCATCTTTGCCACTAAGGTGTACCACTCAAATTAGTCTCCATCGTCTGATTGTAGAAACACTAGAGTGCTCACCCATTGAAGTTGGTGACCGTGACTGTGAAAGCGTTTCCGTTTGCCTTGACAGCGGTAGAACCAGCAATGGCATTTGCTACATTGACGCCCTGCCCGCACGGAGCATTGCTCGATGGGCGAGTCACATCTGATCGCACTGGAGTACCGGAAACGCCAAGAGCAGGTGTGACGATCGCATGGCCATGGACGTTGAACGACATCGAGAGTACAAAAGCAAATAAAGGAAGTGTCTTGAACGACTTTGCGAACATCATGATTGAGATGGAAGGCTATTCTGATGCAAGATAGAAGTGAAAAGAAATTATGAACAGATCAATGAACGACGCTGTCGAGGGAGGAACCGGCCTCGGGAAAATGGGTAAAAATGAGACTCTGCTGAAAGTGGGGGAAAATCGTAGAGAAATGGCATCTCGACGAAATACGCTGTTTTTTTATAGCGGTACATGTGGATAAAAGGAGCTTTTGTTCTCTCGGAGGTGGCTGTGAGGCCCATGACAACAGGCCACGCCTCCGTTGCTCTGGTTTTCGGCACATGATGCCGCCACATCTAAATTCATCAGAATACCTCTTGATGTTAAGCCTCATCCCTGTTATTCAAGCGCGTGCCTAGCCAGAACGAGAGCCCAGTTGGTTCAGACAAATAATTCTGCAATGTCAGCCTGTTGGGAGTGACGCCTGCGGACAACATTCAGACTTTACGAATTGCCAGATGCCGATCGTAAATTGCGTTTCCAGAAGTCTGGGGCAACAGGGCAACCTTCGTCGAAACCATCGATACTTTTTAAAATGATTGGACCGGACGAACGAAAACCAGTGATCTTTGGACCAATCATCACACACATCTCAAAAGCGAGGCAACGAGGAACGCGGTACCTGTGTGCTCGTGCGGGCAGTTTGACCCTTACGGGAATGGTTTGATTCCAGCCAGCCTCGCTATTGTTACGGTTGTAAATAACTGATGTCCTTCGAATACTTGTTTGGTCTGTAGCACCGGACGATGAGGGTGGTAAGTTCATCAGCAGTATTTACAACGAGAGCGCAATAGTACCTAGGAAAGCACCTGAGTTTGTTTTCGAAAACTAGTGAGGACTGTGTCAGTAATGTTCATCGTTTGAACACACAGAGAATTGTGATGATGTTGGACAATGGAGAGTCATTGGAGACACTGCAGAAACCTCGAAGACCTGACCGCGAGACCAAGAACTGCATTACCTATCATTATGTAATCAACGCTCGTCCAACAGGCTACGCTTGGTGTGCATGTACCGTGACATCGAGGTGTGTTGTCTCATCTCTAATACTGTATAATCTGGACCTTTTGGATTTTAGAGCTTCTGTATCACGCTGCGTAACAATATATTTTTGCCTCGTGCTTCTTTCTCCCTGTAAAGTACTAACCTACTAAGGTGTCATTGCACTTGAGGAATGACTCAATGAGTGCAACTTTGCCCTTGTTTACGCAATTCTCTGAGGTTACTAAGGCTGGCCAGGACGCAATCACGTTGCTTTCCAACAGAACTTCGTTTATATGCCGGTACATGTGGCAAAATACCACTGCTATTGGGAAGATGTATGCAGCATGCTAAACTTGCGTATATCGAGCCATTGACGCACCGACGCTCTATTGCATGATTACGCGGCATCGTTCTTCGCCGTTTGCTTGGGTGTCTAATAATGTTTGAGCTGGTAACAGGTATAACTGGTGTTTCAAGTTCATTTCGGTACCAACGAAGCTGAAAGTATTAAGCTGCGATTTCCCGAGTTGCATCTACACAAGACCCACCTGCTCTGGACTTATGCTTCATGACTACTGCTAGTGATTTTAATGGCGCATTTAATGCGATTTTTCGAGAGGCCGAAGCCACTTTATCCGTGATATCGATAACCTCCACAGCTACTGCATCGGACCTTCCTGGAGCAGGACGTACACTCGGGAACCTGTACAGCTACTTTGGGAAAAGGCTTGAGACCCTACTTAGCCGTCTTGCAGAGCGTCATGGGTACGGCCCTACAGCTATCGAAAAGCGTGTCCTAGTTTGCATCGGTTCTCCGCCCAATCCAAACTTTCCCGTCCCTGGATCCAAGCGAGACAGGAAGCTCCGAAAAGATTTGACCCGACTTGTACGATATACCCAGTATGTATCACCATCACTTTTTCATGCAATCTTGTTAAACTTAGCCGACATTAGGTCCAATATTGATGCAAACAGGGCGCTGGCTTGTCAAACTATAATCTCTCTCACGCTTTATCACAAGTATTTCTGCGAGCTGTTCTGCGAGCTCGATGCTTTGAAAACGTTCGCTGTTATCCTGGCTCGGGAGAAAGTATACGGAGAAACAGACTGTCTACTGTCTCCTTCACGCAAGGCTCTTCTATGTATCGCTGAAACCGAAATAAACACCATCGGTAGAAATTATTCGTTACTGGCTCTCCAATTTATGCAAATGGTCCGGCGTAGCAGACTGCACGATCCAAGTGAGCAAGATCTGTTCTACAGTGCCCATTTAAATGCGCATGAGAAGGTTGTGGAATATATTGGCAGTAGGTAAGGGCCGTAAAGCAGCCATTTCAAGTCGACTTGCATATCACTTTATCTAATCAGAAATTTGACACACAAACTATTAGGCATCCAGAGCGATCTTTCCTTGCTCTTTGCCATTTCACTGAAGTAATTCGCGACAGCATTCGTAACAGACGATTTAATTTACCGAGAAATCCAGATTCTCCACAATCTGTTGGAGAGGTCGGGAGCACGAGAAAACCCGGCTGGAAAGCGGAAAATACCTGTCTCCGCAGCCGTTTTCAGCAACAATATGATGGCCACAAAATGCTTGAAAGGTCTATTATATTCAACTTGAAGAAAGCGCCAAGTGATGTTGACTGGCATGTCCTCGAGCTCGGGATCCTCCAAATGCAAATTCGGGCACTTACATTGCAACGAAAAGGCAAATTATGCCGTTGTTCTGCAATAGCGTGAGTGTTTGGTAGTATTATATTTAAAAAGTATACGCAAATTGCTAATACGCCAACATTAGAGATTATGCCCTTTCTCGATTTCCCGACAAGCTGTCAACTGATATCGCCAACAGAATTCGAATTGCCAGCGATGCGTTAAGATTGGCAGTGCATGGGCAAACCTGCCCTTTTTGGGCCATTGAAAAAATAATGTCGGGTGGACAATAGCCATTCACTTATGCTCTTCTCACGTAAAACTCTGTAAACTTTATTGGAAAATTGTTTGCAATGCAATGTCTAGAGTCTGCAACAAATTATCTCGGGGAAAACAATGTGAGTTACCTGTGCCACTCCAGTCGGAATAAATTTTTGCAGTCAAAATTGAGCACCTTAAGCTTGTTTGCATAAACGTTTACTAAGATCGTAAATCTCATTCTTCTTCTCGTGTCTCCCTGCGTACTATGCTGCGACAAACAATCCAATTCTGGAGGAAGGGAGATCGATCGTATTGATCTTGTAGTACACACCTACAAAGATTACATTTGATTCTGCTTGAACCCAAAGAAAGCCGAAAGAAATTCCTAGCCCAAAATGTATCAGCCCATGTACAACCATAACAATCATTGACTCGAGGTTCGAAGTGATTAATCGAGACGAGCAATACGGCTCCTCTGCAATGGCGGACATTAGTACATAGCCATTAATCATTCTTCAGAATAACTCACAACAGCCTTCTTCGCTTCCGAATCAGCGCCAGCTTGAGAAATGAGAACACAGTTCCCAAAACCTCCGGCCGTTGTGAAGCTCACAAGGCAGCTCGCACCATCATTACCACCAGTGCACGCAGTGCCTGAAGGCAAAGTACCCGAAACTTGCACGGAACCAGTCGATGCGGGTGCCAGGACTCCATTCTGTGTGATCGTTGCCGAACCACCGGTGAAAGATGCACCGGTGCCAGATGGGTCGATGAGAGTCTCCGTGATCTCGGTCGAGCCATCCTGGCCACTAAGCATTCGGTGGACATGGTCAGAATCATGTACGCTGAACGCAAAGAAAAGTGGAAATTACCCATTGAAATTGGTAACAGTGACGGTAAATGCGTCTCCGTTTGCAGACACAGCATCAGAGCCAGGAATTGCACTCGTCACGTCAACGCCGGTTCCACATGGAGCGGCATCTGAAGTGCGTTTCGCATCTGCACGTACAGGTACGCCTGAAATGCCAATTGCGGGAGTGATGACTGCGTGTCCGAGGACTTGCTGTGACACTGAGAGAGCAATAGCGAGGATGGAGAGCGTCGAGAGAGACTTTGTGAACATTTTGATACAAACAAGTAGACGACGATTGCAATGTGAATTAACGTTGGATGAGGAGCCTGCTCCTGAGAAGGATAGTGCTTTAAGATCTGATTTGTGAGGTGAAAGCTGCTGGACGACGTACTCTTTTATAGAGATTAAGAAATCCTCAAAACGCTGAGCAGAAGCGTTTGCGGAAACCCAATCCAGACGTGGATTGACATGTCGAATGTCGAACAAGCCATAGCAACTTCGTACAAGTCGCTATTTCTCTACAACCCCGGAAAGACGGTCCAATTGACATGCTTCAATCGTCCTCACCACGCAAAAAATGGCTCACCTTTCGTCCACGATCTGTCGGTTTGTAAAAAAAGATAGCATGAACGATGTCTTCTCGATGATCATCATATGGACTAAGACATTTCGGAAGCACGTCTCCAGTGGCTGGCTTGTCTAGACCCGGCTTAGTCAGTGCGAGTAAGAGAAGGTTTAGGGAACATGAGCACAATACCTTCAGGCGAAGGTCCGTTAGTGATTGGAGACTGTCAGGCACGTCATGCACGAAGGAACTCGTGACGACGGTTGACATACGCGAAGTAGCTGAAATAGAGTATATGGGAGATTTTTGGACTTTAAATCGCTTGATCACTACAGCCGTAGTCTAAAAACACAGATTCAACTGCCTCCATAGCATCCGCGCGAAAGGAGTCCGTTCATAGACCAGAGATTACTGACGGTCGGATTTCGTGTTTGCCTTGTTTGTAGCTTCGGTTGCCACGAGTTGCCACGAAAACTACAATAGCGAAAGGGCAGAGGAGAACTTTCAGAGTGATGTATGAGTGTGTAGGAAAAGCTCTTCCATGTCCGTTGCAGTGGAACGTTCAACGCACGTTGAAGTCGATGAAGTCATCGTGAAGACGCTGACGTAACCAGTTCCTGTTTAGGAGAGATGACATAATCATACGCTTGACAATGCTTGCTTGTGAAATGATGTCTAAATGTACATGTAGCCGAATTCTTTGTGCTTGCACTGATCTACAAATAGCACGCAAAATAAGATTTGACTAGGGTTTGCTCTGGCGTAATACATTATATCTGAAGAGTTTGGAAAATCTGTCTGTTTTACTACTATAATTAGTATAATATGACACACCAAGCAATTAAACCCGTGCTTCAATTGCTGTAAGATACCTAATAATCCGTGCTGCATTCGGTCTCTTCAAAGGGTCATGAGACCAACAGCTTCGCATCACGTTCCAACAATTATCATCAATAAAGCAGTTCTCTGGTCGTGGAGGATGTCGTCCTTTCTGCAAATCCTTGTCAATAGCATATCCGTCCCAGGGGTTGTCTTTTTTAAGCATCTTTTTATTGATGAGCCAAGACTGCACATATCCTATAGGATTTTAGCACTCACCTCAAGGAAAGTGCACCCGAATGACCATATGTCCCCTGCACGAGTCGGGTTTGCATAGTCAATCATTGATTGGTTTGTCGAATTATCAACCTTTACATATTCTGGTGGAGTCCACGGTAAGCTCACGGGTGCTGAAGTATTGCTCGTTTTTTGCAACCCGTTCTCAGCCTCTTCCAGCTTTGCTGAGCCAAAGTCCATAATTCGAGCATTGTAGCGTGTCCCGTTAATTATCTCCACAATGACGTTGCTCTTCGTGCGAAAAACAAAAATTCTTGTCAGTAGGAGGTCACAAGGAAAGGAACCAACACACAGCTTTTAGATCACGGTGAATAGCAGGAGGTTCAAGGGAATGCACTGCTCATAAATGTAAACAGTCAGAAAATCCTGAAAGAATTGGACTTACTATGGTGCAATCCAATTGCAACGTCACGCATCTAATAGTTGATATCACCTTGTTAATTATATGAAAAAAATAAAGGGAGAAATCGCTCACCAGCTTGACCTTTTCTTTTAGGCTGACCTTCCGTTCAGAAACAAAGATACGTAGGTTCTTTCCTTCATAGTATGGCATAATCAAGGCGGGAAATGCTTCGCTCTGCAAAGGCTTAACAAACCCGAGGAGTGGAACGATATTCGCATGCTGCCCAAGCGACCTCCATATCCGGCATTCACGCTTGAAATACTGAAGAAAAATTTTGTTCAATAAAGACTAGAAAATCTCCGAATAGCATGATATACCTCAATAAGCAGCTTAAGTTTTTTTTCTGGATCGTTCGATAGTGTTGCGTACTCGGTGTTGACGACCTTTATTGCAACAACAGTCTGTCCAAACAGATAAACAATCAATTACGTGTGCTTGATGCTTACACGAGCGACATACAACACTACTTTCTCGGGATGTATACGATCCTTTGAGAATGCCTGCTCTGCGGCCGCCCTTGATTGCCTGAAGTCGAACAACTGCTCGTTCACTTATTTCGGGGACATGCCACTCGTTGAGGACTTTTTACTCCTGTTATCAGCTATTCAATGTGACTAGCAGCTGGCTTGTACTCACGCTGAGGAATATATGTCTGAATGTTCACCCTAGCCATCCTTCTTGGCTATTAAAGTTGGTCAAGCACCAAAGGATATATGAGAATTTTTGAGATCGTGACGAGAGGCTGCCTATATTGTGTGAAGCAAACAGAACGTGTTGGTCAGGTTGCATGACCAGCTGGTGTAGAACTCACCTCAATCACTCTGTTGACTGTCTTCAGCGTATGGGCATGCTTTGAGCAACTTTCCACCAGAAAAGGAGCTATTAGCGTTATTCAATTGGAAATTAGAGGACAACACACCTTCCTTTCTGCATCACAATGTGCATGAACATTAGAAAGCAGAGGCCAGATCAGGGTGACACCCGGACGAATAAGAAGAAAAGGCCTTAGCATACAATAAAATAGGTAGCAACAGAAACGTTTCAGTCACCCTTTGTCATTTGCTGTGAAGGACAAAGGGAGTGTTGTTGTCAAGCGGTTGAGATGGGACCCGCTGGGATCAACAAGCACACTTGCCCCATTGTTATTGTTTGTTGTACACACAAGGGTCCTTCTGTTTGCTTCCTTTCATCCGGGCCTTGTTCTTATCTAATATTAACTACTTGTTGGTCGCATCGCTGAATGTAAGTGATGTCAAGTTCCTTGAAGTGCATGGTAGATGTGAGACGACGTGCATGGGTCTGACCTGATTTGGACGTGCATTCTCACGCCTTGTCCCTCTACCCGCGCTGACTCAACTTACAGCACTGGTGCCCGTTCTGGTTGTATTGCAATGACTGTTCTCACTGTCAAGATGACTGTACAATGCACTACACCATGTATTTCTTTTCTTCATCTCTAAGCCTGTTAGCTTGGGTGGCTGCAGGGCCTCTTTTGCCCAGATGACCTACTAAATCTTTCATATATACAATTTGCAGTGTTTTATCCTCCCTCATACTGGTATCAGGTTGATTAGCTTGCATATACTGTATTCATGTATAAACACTGTTACAATCCTTCCCTAGATGCTTTGCAAAATGGACAAGTTTCTGAAACAGGCACGATTCGTTCCCCACACATATTATGACTTCTACCTGTCATTGCTACCCTGCATGTGCCTTTGATAGTGTGACCCCACGTGCACGCATCCCTGCGTTTAAGGTGTATCTTCAGGTGATCCAATAAGTGTACCTCTCGAGCTTGAGTTACGCACAATGCATATTCAAATCCAATTTGGTTCACCTCGTCAGTTGTCAGCGGGGCTGCTCGTTTGGCCAGTGTAGCAACTGCAGGCTCGACCCATGTATCTATTTCGTACTGTTGGGAAAGCTTGAGACTTTCAATACCATCCAAATTGAACTTGGACAATTCTTCGGCAGCTAAATCCTTAATCTCGATGAATGACCACCTGTGAGCAAGCTTTAATACGTGTAACCATTCCTTCTCTGACAATTGCAAGCCTGCTTGGCGATAAAGTCTGAAATTGCCAATTACAATTGGACAATGATGCAGGTACTAGGGTGTATTGACACTCACGGTGTGTACATTACAGTAAGCAATGCCTGGAACTCGTCAATAGTCACTTGCTCTAGTCGCAATGGGTGCTTCTCGTCAGAGCCATCGACAGGAACATCACTGCCCACAGGGAGGGAGAACATGCCAGAAAAAACGTCGGACTCAGTTTCAAATGGCTTTCGGTTGACAGTGAATAAGCAATCTTCGACCTTTCAGCAGTTTGAAGTCAATACCGATTGAGTGGCTATGAATATTGACACTGACAAGGAATACTATATTTGATGTCTTCCAGACATCAATCGTTCTATACGAGTGGATTGATTCTATTTCAATTTGAAGTAAGCTAAAAAGAATCAAATTGTATTCCAAACATCCCTCACCGTGTAGTGTTTGTGGACTAGATGAAGGAATTTTGTCTGTGTCTGAGAGTAACGAAATGTCATTCACACTCTCCTCAAAAATTGCACAGTTTCCGCGTTTTCGTTTCGATCGTGTGTACATTATGCGTGTAGAATAGATGAAGACACTATGCCCCTATTCCCTCGCATCAATAGTAAGATAGCACAAGTAAATTACCAACGTACGGATGGTACCACCAATTGATGAAGCAACTAAGCTACCTGAGTTAGCATGAGAGAGATATACAGTATAGTGGTGGTACGCTTACCTCAACAATGGCGGTGTAAGGTTGAAGGGAGTTAACAGGATGCGGATGTAGAATGCCGCGCTGTAATGAAGCATATCGTCACGTGCCATTCGCTCGATTGCCCGATATAGCCGGTTGGAGTCTTAGACAGTATACTCTTCTATGTGCTCCTTCAAAGCTTGCAGTAGGGAACAGCTATAATACTGCCTTGTGTACTGTGCATGCCATGACAGAGTCGCTCTTGCCATTCAACATGATTCTCTGTCATTCCTTGCATAGCTGGCGCTTCATCGTTGACGGCACTTTCAAGATAACGTCCTGAGGCATCTCTGCTGTTGATATAAATTTCGTACTTAAATAGTATGGAATCCGACCAAATTTCAATAAAACTAGAATGGTGGGTGTAGCTACAGACTCTAGGCAATCTTGTTTGGCTGTGCGTGAGTGCTCATTGCTTCATGTCGTTCACACAATTTTTATGCATAACTGTGTGAATGTTTCGGCCACATAGCGTCGAGGAGGGTCATTGAACTTGACCACCACACGTCCTATCTTCCCAGGCTCGGTTTCTTACTCTGGACTGTATGGCATGAATACATACACGTATAGTTGACTATATCTATATGCTTGATATCATCTTCCAGCAACTTGAGCATTGAATCAGACAGCCAATTCTATGCTTACACACAGGTATCTCCTTAATATGCATAGAATTTGGTCTTAAAGATGTTCAATGACAAGGAAGGCGACTCTTAGCTTCATAGATTCAGAACAGCTGGATTGTCTGGTCTTTGCTTATCTCTCATGCAGCTGTATGGCTGTCTGTCAAATACATCGGATCTGACAGTCACAGACAGATTACCTCATAAAACTCCCACTTAATCTGCTGTATCATATGTAGCTTTCTGTCATTTCAAACAAGATGGCCTGGACCTACTTGAGCAAAATGCCTCACAATTAGATCGGTATGTATTTGGAAGAAACGCTCGCAAGAATTTCCAAAACATTGGGCAGTACTTATTGCCAATCATCCTCTCATTCCCTCTATATTTAGATACGGCATGACCTGTACCTTTATCCAGCAGTTCATCTGTTTATCTGTAGCAGACCTCATAATACACACAGCACGATTTTAAGTCAGAAATGCCGTAAAGGCAAGACAGTCTTATTACTGCTTGTTATAGTGGTTCCAATTTATGTTTCTCAACGTACTCAGACAAGCATGTTTTCGCATGTTCTCACACAAATTAATTATTGTTCATAGATTGCAGGTATGTACACACAAGCTAACCTTCTGCTATAATAAGATTATCTAGCTTTGAAACTGTTTTCTCGGCTGTATACCGCAGTTTTGGCCAAGATCTCCCACCTTTCCAGCCCCAGCAACCTTCAAGGAAATCCCCGTATTTCATCGCAAATTCTTTGTTGGGAAATGGTGGATGTTTGCCTTTTCGGAGTTCTGCGAACACGTCAGCACTTGGCGGCCACGGGTCACATTCGTTAAGTATCTATAATAATATACTGAGAATTTGTGCATAGTTAGTATTGAATGGGTACATACCTCTAGTACGACACATGCAAGCGACCATATATCGCCAGAAGGCTTCGGATTTGTATAGCTTTTGAGATATGTCGCAGGCTTCACAAATTCTGGTGGCTGCCATTTATACTTTGTATTTCGCGTCGAGTTATATACAACATTCAGAATTGGATCGAGCAGTTTTGCTGATCCGAAGTCGTTGATGCAAGCAACGATCCCCGAAGCAGTTTCTTTCACCAGAATGTTTGACTAAACGATCGAATAAGGATTGAAATGCGACTTCGGTAACTGCAAATATAGTACGTACGCCGGAGAGGTCTCTATGCACAATCGGGTCTTGCAGACCGTGTACTAATCCGATCATTAACGTCTCGAGAACGCCATATATAGTTCACTCACAGTATTTGAGGCCATATGCCACATCGCGCAGCTATTCACCATTAGTACTCTTCAATAACATACGTAAAGGCTTTACTCACAAGAAGAAGCTTCGATTTGTCGCTCAGGGGAGTGTCTCGTCGGCTAACGTACACTCGAAGATTTTCGAGCGGGTAATAGGGAAATATGAGGGCAGGAAGGTTATCCTTGCCACACGAGGGGATGAATCCACAGACTGAAATGATATTCGGATGGAATCGAGCACGTAACCAGATGTCAGCCTCTCTTTCGAAATACTAGGACGAGTTATAATTAAAATCCGACTCTGGTTTGCAGGTTTTGAGAAACGCTCACAGAAAACAGCTTACTCCTGTACTTTTCCTCTTCTGCCCCGTCTTTTGTCCTGTGATAGGCATATGCACTTTTAAGAGACTTGACAACAACTGCACTCTTCTAGCATTTCAGAAAATTAGAAGTGAGATGAAAGGCTAAAGTTCCTGTACTCACAACATCCCGATGCCGCTCGACATTCTGCTGTATTCTGAGTATACCATGAGTCAAGGTGGCGCGGCCCGATCCAGGTAAAATAACATCAGACGCTGCAAAGCTATCCTCGGTATACACAGAAATATTGGCGTTTTTTAGTCCTTAAATAAGATTGTCTCGTCACTGTGCAGTGTGAAATAATAAGTAGGTCACGTACTTTCGATGACGGATGCCCTCCTGGTTTCTATTGCTTGAGCTCCGCTGGCCATCCCGTATTGGAGTTGTTCGCTGAGATTGACTGTCTTAAGGACATGAAATAAGGTGGGTACGTTTATGAGGCAAGCGTTCGTACTGCCGCGCAGGCCCAGTGCGTGCGACGAGCCTTGCAACGTTGCTTGAATGTCCATTGACTCATTGCCGAGGGTTTCGAGAGAATGGAAGCCAACCGATCGAGATTGAAACTCGTGTCAAACACAGCATGAGCCAGAACGCGGAAGCAAATAGGCTTGCACGGTTATACAAGGATTTTTACAAGGCACGTTTCATGGTCAGAGCGAATTTTTTCTCATACGGCCATGGCACAAACACGTAAATATCCACAAATAGTGAAATACCAACGGAACAAACAAGCGCGATCATCGGTTTCCTCTTGAGGAAAATATTGATCGGCAATACAAGACCCAACAAATGTCCACATGTTCTCATATTTCCATATTTGGCAAGGAGTTGGTGACACACAGTCGATCGGACAAAAAGGAGGATAATAAAGTGTCACAATCACCAAGGGACAAGATTTTGCATGCATATGCATTTATTAGACGAACAATGTGTTTCTTATGTGTGAGGATTTTAGCGTGTTCCTGATGTTTCATGCATGTTCTATTGCTGATATATTATTTGGTAATTGACGAAATTGGGAAGTCGTTATCGCCGTTATGCTTCCACGTCGTCCAATCGATACCGTCTCCATTCAACTCGCTTCCTTCCGTGCGGAAACAACAAGGAACACCCTTGTACAGTCAGTACAGCCTAGTCGGGGTTGTTAATGCAATTGTCCTTTGGTCGAAATTGAACAAGTGACAGAACATGGACAATTCACATGGGGCATTTCACAATTTCTTGCCTTAAGAAATAACTTACATAATGATAAACATTACTTGTAATTTAGTTTACCATTTTTGGTTGGCAGAAACTCTGAACAGAATTTAAAATTTTCATTATACAAAAACTAGAAATTAAATTTAACATTTCCCTATTTGTAAAATCTTTAAATAAATGGAGAAAATAATTTAAAACATAATTTAAAGTTTTTCCTATAG